GAAATCGCATTTTCACAGCTATTACTGATTGCAATGGTATTATGTCCACATTGCTGCTAGACCGTGTCTGGCTTGGATTGGAACGTAATGTTGTGGCGAGGAAAGATAGGAATGGGATGTCGTCAAGCCTTGTGGGGAAGGTTTTTCATTGTGTGAAGTCTGTTTACATTTTTGTGCATTCGAAGGTGTTAAACTCGTCCATCTTGGGCCCCAAAGTTCGTTTGACAGTGTAGGCAGCGGTCAGGTGTTAGCGACGCTGGTTCGCGCTTCTGCTGTTCTCTCAGCCTGATGCCTTACTACCATATTTTCAGAAACCTTTCCGCGTGTGAGGCCTTTGTTGGACTCATGGTGTTCACTTCCACGTAAACACCGTCAAATTTTACTCTCTAGCTTCTGCACTTTGTTTTTTTCTATCGAATCAGTAGGCACTGAGTGAGATATCAATTCATAAAAAACACCTGACCCATGGCAATGATTCGTGCAGCCGCCGTCAGTCTTCACGTTTTATCGTTAGTAGAAGTGTTTAATTTGGTCTCCTCGAAGCAACAAATCCCCTCGCATTTTGTCTGTTTTCGTACTTCCTTCTTTCCACCCCCAACCTTTTCATTCATAGAACGATGTCGAGATCCTCCAAGTGACACCGCTGGACGCACATGCGGTGCCATCCCCACCATCCTCACCAAAAACATTCGGATGGATGACGTCACGCTGCACTGGGATCTCTGGGACACGAGCGTCGCCAGTGAACAACAGACAACCTGCTCCTCCTCAGCTGCCTCGCTCGGCCGCTCGCAGCAGTCCTCACGTGGTTCCTCGCCGGACCACCGCCTCTCCGCCTCAGAACCGGCAGAATCGAGCACGAAGGTATAGCCTGACCTCTCGCCCTTTCTCCCTCTACATCCCAATTTATCACCTTTTACATGTCCAGAGCAAGCATTCCTTGACAGGAAGGGGGGTTTATGTTCAGAATTAGAAGATGCGATCACTGGAGCAAGAAGTTTATTTGCCCGACGTTTCGGATTCTGGCTTGAATTCGTCATCAGAGGGTTGATAAATGCACAGATTACGCAGTATTTACAGTTCGTAGCGGTCACGCGACCACACGCGCACTAAAATTAGCGGCTCCTGTTTTGGCTCGTGACTGATGCGATAGTGGCTTGGCAGTCCGCTTCCGACTCATTTATTGCCGCGACTTCATCATCCTTGTTGGATGTTGGTGTCATATTTAAGCGATAGTTAAGCTCACTGTCATCGAAATCGTTGACGGTCCGCGTCCTCCCCACGTGACTGATTCTCCTGCTCAGAAAAGTTCGCCGTACGGAATATGTGAACGGTAAATCATTGCGTCGGTTCTCAAGTCCGCAGCGCAATGACTTGCTGTTCCAATATTCCGTACCGAGACTTT